CTTTGGCTAAAGAAATAATGTTTAAGAGTAAAATATATATGCAAAGATCTACAAATTTTATAGATATATTTCTCGATAACGTCTTCTTATATCTTTATAGGATAATGATTGATACATCTTTTGATTGAATATACTGCACAACACACCATCAAAATTTATCTTTGAAAATTTTATCATCATAAATTTAAATTTGAAAATAATAATTTCTTAATGAGTGTGATATAAAGTGTGTTGAATCGAAAGATATGTCAGTTATTTCCCATCTTCATATTCTGTCACGCAATTGACCCCTAATAGTTACAATGCCATGTCACATAGCATTCATTTGTCACTATGTAATTTCAATAAGATGTTCGTATTCTCTTACATAATTGATTCGCAAACAATTACAATGTCATGTTACGTAACATTCATCTGTCACTATATCATCATTTCAATAAGATAACATCTTTTCATTAATTCGTATTTTTACATGAGATTAACCCCCTAACAGTTACAATACCATGTCACGTGGCATTCATATGTCACTATATAGTTCCAGTTCTCACTAGCACAAATGAATGACAGCCTCTAAAATGAACCTTTAAATACCATTATGATGAAATTCACGAATCTTTCCCAAAAATCATGGAATTCAGGAATCTTACCCGAAAATCATGAAATTCAAGACCATATAAAAACTAAGTTGTTTTCGTTATTTGGATTTGTTTAACTTTGTATTGTAATAGTATATATTAATCATATATTAATTATATGTTTTTATAATTAATTTATAAAAAAATAATTTAAAATTTATTAACTATTTAATTAAAAGGTTAAAACTCCTTTTTGGTCCCTGAACTATTGTACGGACCCCTGATTAGGTCCTTGAACTAAAAAAATCCTTGATTTGGTCCTTACTGTTTACCATTTTTACCCCGATTTGGTCCTTCTGTTAAAATCTCACCGTTATCTCAGACACTTTAATGACATGTCAAACCTTTGAGACACGTCAGTTGTATAAATGAATAAATAATGACATGGCAACGTGACATGTCATCCCCTTGCCCAACCCAACAAAAGTGGGACCCACCAAAATTACGAATTTGCCATCATCTTCTTCCTCCAGCAAACAAACCCAGCACCAAACAAAACCAGCACCTGGGTTGAATTGAACCCAATAACGCCCTTTTTTTTTCCTTCCTCTTCCTTGCCTTGCTTTCTTCATCATCATCAAACACCAAAACCACAGAAAAAAAAAATATATTTTTTACCCCTGGGTTCGAAGAACCCAGGCGTGGGTTGGAACCCAGGCGTAACCCCTGGGTTCCTTGGAACCCAACCCGGGCAAGGGTGCTGGGTTCGCAAGGAACCCAGCGCCTGGGTGGGTTCGAAAGAACCCAGGCCTGCTGGGTTCTGAGGGAAAAGAGAAGGGAAAGGGGAAGGAGAAAGGGAAAGGGAAAGGAGAAGGAGAAAGAAAAAGAAAAA